ATTTCTAAATAAAGTTTTAGTATTGTAACTCACATCTAATTTATATTAAAAAATAACCATCCCTATTGTCCATCTTTGTTTCCCATTTGTCGACTCACATAATTTATCGGTCAACTGCATCCATCGCGATGCAATTTATCAAACTAATATCTTTGTGAGCAACTTCAAATTAATTAATTGGGTTTAGAAATATAATATGTTTTATCTCTCTATTATTTTATTGCGGTTTAAAAAATATCCTTGTAAACATTATATTTGTTTAGATATTTTTAAGGATGTTTTAATTACAAAGGGTTTTGAGATTTTATTTTGAAAAGTTTTAAATTAAATTTTTAAACAGGTTAAAGAATTTATTTTAATTAAAAATCATTAATTTTTTAATGTTCCATCCATAAAAGATTACGTATGAATAAAAAAAAATCTAATTGTGTAATTTTTTATTTTTTATTTTTTGTTCCGAAAATAATTTTATCTAAAATATAATTATATTGTTATATTTGTATTGTTATTGCGAACTATTACACTTCTAAGTTCTAATCTCAATAGAGATAATAATATGAAAACAAGTCGGTGAAATGATGGCATTTTAATATATTCCAAATTCTTGGTCCCCAAGCTTCACTTTGCATTTTAATAACTCTTTTCCTCTTATAAGCCAACAATTATTGAGAAACAGGCCCCATCTACCATATTACGCTGACTTTCTCCAAGAAACATGGTCTTTTGTTTTCTGTATTATTACAGAAGAATATTTTGGGAAATTATGGAATCGAGTTGACTCAGAACCGGTCAAGTTACGTTACGCCGTTCAGTTTCTAAAATGGAATTTTTTAATTGTATTTTTAGGATGCATGTTAGACTTTATTTATTATAATATTTATAATTAATTTTATATAAATTTTTATATAAAATTAAAATATAATATAATATAATATTTTATTTTAAAATTTATAAAAAATTGTAAATCTAATATAAAAATTTATATAAAATTAATTTAAAATATCTTAATTAATAAATTTTAATATTCTAAGTTAGACAAACTCTTACAAAATTTCAAATCGTGCAAACGTATACGTGCACGTGGGACTGGGACATGGGATTGTGTTTAATTTTTTTTTTTTAAAGGAAAATTAAGGGAGGAGGAAAGGAAAAACGTAAAATTTAAATCTCACACCCCACGGGTGAGATACCTATCGAATCAAACTTGCTTGATTCCAGCTTTTTTATTTTTTAATATAAAATCTTTAATTAAGTTGTTAAATTTTGGTAGAATCCCAAATCCCTACGATAAAGCCCTCCCTTAAAAAAAAAAAAAAGTAAGAATAATTTTTTTAAAATTATAAATTATAAAAATTATTTATTTTTTAAGATGTGACAGTAATTTTTTATTGAAAAAGATTTACGTAATAAATAAAATTTTGATATTATATTTTAAAAAATAAGTTACTTATTTTTATTTATAATTTAAAAAAATAATTTATTTCTATATTTTTTTAAGAATAGATCTGCTTCTATCCCGATTTAATAGGTAAATATGAGGTTTTATTTTAAATTTATTATAAAATTTTTATTAAAATAAATAAATTCTTAAATTTAATAATTTAAGTAATTTAATTTTTTTATCACAAATTTAATATTTATTTGTATCTTACTTATATAATTAATGTTAATTTTATTTACATAAATAGAATATAAATAAGAGTCAAATTTATTACAAAAAAATAGTTATATTACTTAAATAGTCAAATTTAGAGATTAATTTATTTTTAATAAAAATCTAAGGTCTTAGTAAAAAATTTAAGGTAAATTTAAGAATTTAAGGTAAAATTTTACACTTCTATTTTATCCGATGGCATTTCCCGTCCACCTGACAAAACATCAGTTCTGTGTTGTGTATAAACAGATTAATTATCATTAATAATAAGTATTTATTTTTTATTTTATTAATAATATTTTAATCTCTTTTATCAAAATTTATATTTTTTTATCTAAGACAAAAAAAAACTTTTTTGTACCGTCAAATGTTAAATATATATAAAAAATACTCTTTTTAATTAAATTAGTTGTTGCAATTTAATTTTTTTTACGTAGTTTTAAAATCAATAATTAATATAATAAATAAATAATAATTAAAATTTTTTATTTAAATAAAAATATTCAAGAAACTATGTAAAAAAATTAATTAAAATATTATTTATTTATATATAAAATATTTTTAATCAAATTTTACGTAGAAATTAAATTAAGCTAATTAAATCCAATTAAAATGAGTGGCAGTTGTGGTAACAACCATTGCTTAGACAAGTTTCGTTTGAAAATTCAAAATCAAAACTCTTAAAAATTATAAGGTTCTAATTTCTTGAAATTACATAACTTTTTTATTAACTTTTATTATCTAAAAATTATATTAAATTTTAATTAATTTAAAATAGAGTCACATTAAATCCAAAAAAATTCTCCCAACGTTTAATTTATATTCATAAGATTTAAATTTAAAATTTTATTTTTAAAAAATTAAATTTCTTGTATTCAAATCCACAAACTTTACTACTAAAAAAAATATGTAATATTGTTGTGTATTAAATAGTTATAATGAATTATTAATTAATTGTTGAACTGAGTAAAAGCAGTTCGATTCTTTTTAAATAAAATCTTCAATTTAAGTTTTGTGAATATAGAAACAGGTGTTAAGAGAGTTTCTCTTTAATGAGGTATGATATAACTCAATTTTAGATTAATTAAGATTTAATGTAATTATTAAATAATAAAAAATTAGTAAAAAAAATTGGTTATGATGAATTCAAGAACAAAATTGTTCGGAGGGTATAAGATAAGAACAAAGAAAACCTGACGTAGACAAATTGACATTCAGGTTGGTTGACATGAAATGATATTGTGGAAATTGCGGGTAACATTGTAAGAATTTTAATCATTTTGATGTAGTTCTCCTAGTCCATTTTTTCACACTTTGAAATTAATTTATTTTAATTTAATAAAAATAAAATATTTAGGTCAAAATTATAGTAAAAAATTTATAAACAAATACTTTTTTAATTAATTTAAAAAAAAACTGAGTTATAAGTAATAAAGTAGGTAGTAAATTCTTTTACTATTTCAAAAAATATTTAGTATAATAATTTAAAATTAATGATTGGCAGTTTCATTTAATCTCTTAATTAATAATAATAATTATTAATAATTTAAATATTTTTATTAATTAAATTAAATAAAACTATTAGTTTCTAATTTCAAACTATTATACTTAAATAGCTCCTAAGTTGCAGCTCTTTGGAAAAAAGGTTTAATATAATACATATATACATTAGTATGTACATGGAAAAAATGTACATAGAAAAATAATCACCTATCTCAGTAATTTTGTTATTTGTGGTTTATGTTTTAAATGCCTTCTTTCAACAGGTAGTTTTTTGGTTTAAGTTGAAAGAATTTATTTTTTTTAAGTAAAATTTTGAATTTAAATTTTATGAATAAAAAAAAATATAACAGTACTATGCATTCAATTTTATTTGATTTTAAATTAATTAAAATTTAATATAAATTTTAAATTGCAAAAAGTTTAACCATAAAAGAAAAAGGTCTTCCTTTCATCAATTGTGAAGTTAAATACCGACAAGTGGGATCAAGGGAGAAATTTTCTTATCCTTTTTTTTTAGGAAAAAAATTATAAAAGCAAAAGGTCTTTAAATTTTAATTACAAATCAGGTGTGAGAAATGAATATTTATTGTCACTACACAGTGACAACTAGGATTCCAAGCCGAAATCTGAACAGAAATGGTCTGTGGAGTGTGGACACCTACCTACAAAATAAGGAGACGTTAGAACTTAATTATAGATTGGAACTGGTTTCTGACTGTATTAGAGTATTCGCGGAGAAGAATAGAGTACGTGGGCGAGTGGAGACGATGAGACTGGAGAGAGAAATTAAGGTAAATAGAGTGTGATGGAACAACATCCAATGGTTATCTTCACATAGTCCCTTAATTCTTTTTTTTTTTTTTTTTCAATTTTGATTGCACAATAAGAGATGATCGTTTTTTATTTTTTATCTTATTCTATTCGTATGTCATGTGACTCGAATTTAAAATTTTTTACTTCTAACAAAAAGAGACTACCATTGAGTTATTTAAATCGTTCACTCTTAATTCATTTCTAGATTTCTCAATCTTCTAATGAAAGTATGTCACATATTTTTTTTATTCAGCCTCCATTCACATAGTAATGTTTTTTTTAAACGGTTTACAATTTTAGAGATTGAAAGAAAGAAATTTTTTAAAAGGTTGGTGAGACTTAAAATCTTTATCAATTAACTCAAACATTTTAAGATTAAAAAATGAATCAATTGGATCCGAAGGTACCTTTCATTCACATAATAATATTTAATCTTTATATAGAACAAAAATGCAATGTTTAACGGTTTTAGAGTGGTTCTAGTACTAGTATTAGAAAAAAAAAAAGGGTTAAAATATTAATTTAATTCCTTAATTTTTAGATTTGTATTAAAATTATTTTATAACTTCAAAAAATATTAAAATTATTCTTAAATTTTAATTTTTGATATTAAAAAGGTCTTTCCATTAACAAAAATGTCATATAACTCATTATGTAACCATAAAATCAATTCTTTTTTAAAATACTAATGACGTATAAAATTAAACAGTCATATTTTTCTATCATAATATATTTTTATTTATATATTAGATTGATGTATAATCAAAGTTAAAAAACTAAATTGATATTTATAATCAAAGTGTAAAGATTAAACTGATATTTATCTTTAGAGTTTAAGGATTAAATTAGAATTATTTTCAAAGTTTGAGGACTATTTTGTATAAAAATTAAAGTTTAAGAATAATTTTAGTATTGTTTAAAATTAAAGGATAATTTTAATAAAAATTTAAAAATCAAGTGACTAAATTAATATTTTTTTTAAAAAAAATCACAATAAAATAAATCACCGTAGGTCCACAAATAACCCGCCGCAAATAAATCTCAATTTAAAAAATTCAAATGATTGTTTCCCATTTTACCTCTTCCTGTGGTTCCAGTATATGCAGTTGTTTTGTTTCTTATCTCTGCTTCTCTGCTTCTCTGCTTCTCTCCTGCATCGTCTCCCTCCTTCCATCTCAAAAGAAGAAGGCAAAAAAGAGCTTCTTCTGTTCATTACCTTCTATGTATTTTCTCCTTTCAGCTGTTGTTGTTCAGGATTTTGCAGCTTGAACCACTAGATTCTATTGTGTTTTCTACTTCTGTGTATGCATATATGCATATATATTGTATGTATAGATTGAGGTTTTTAAAGTAAGAGAGTTCTTTTCTTTTTTTTTTTTTTTGGATTCTGGTTCTTGGAAATCTGAGTTTCAAGTTTTCCCCGGGCTTGGAGGCTCGGGATCCGGAGAGCAGATGGCTGTGGAGGAGAATTGGATTACCGGGGTACCGGAACAGAACTCATGCTATCTGCAGAAATTCAGACTCTATGAGACTTGCTCGGTATTTTTTTTTTCTTTGTTTGTTTCTCAATCTAATTATATGCAACTAGAGACTTGTAATATATGTATGTAATTATGTGAATGAATATGAAAATTTTGTTTCTCTGGTGACTTTATGATTAGTTTGATTATTTGTTTGTTATCTTCAATCATCATATGCTATATTTTAGTTTGACTTTAAATTTCAAAATCTTATGGTTACTTGTTTTGATTATATCCATGATTTTCTATTCTATTTGATACCAGTGGCTGTGATTTGGCAGTTATTGAGCTGATTTGAATTGTAACCCTTCTTTTTTGAATGACAAAGTTAGAGATTTTATGCATAAACCCATAATATAGTTTGGCTGCAACAGCAATTCTATATGATAGGAACGGACAAGAATAGAACTTTTTGGAGGGTGTTAAAGATTGACCGTCGAGAGCCTTCTGAATTAAACATTCTTGAAGATTCTACTAAATACTCGGATACTGAGTGCCGTGATTTGTTAAGACGGATAGGTGAAGGAAATAAGCCTACAGGCGGACTTAAATTTGTCACATCTTGTTATGGGATTATTGGTATGTACATTTCATGCTCTTGTCTTCTCCTTTACATCTTGGCTTCACTATAAACTGATGGAAAATTTGCCCCATTTATTTAGGTTTCATAAAATTTTTGGGACCTTATTACATGCTGCTTATCACAAAAAGAAGGAAGATAGGTGTAATTTGTGGCCATACCATCTATGCCATTTCCAAGACCATGATGATTCCCGTACCACATGCTGTTCAATCCAATGTGGCTAATTCTAAGAATGAGAAAAGGTCTTTTGTCAATTATGCATGTAAATGTAATGCGTACTCTAGTACATCTAAGGAGACACATGTGATTAGCACTCAATATGTTATTATTTATTTGTATTTAGATGAGAATTATTTTAACTTATCCATGTGATTTGTTTGGCTTTTTCTCAATTAAATCTCTGGGACAATAATATGAGTTCTGGAGTCTTCTTTTAAAAGTAGATGAGTTCCTTAGTAAGGAGGTAATCTCTGTACTATATTGTTAATACACCCCTTCACATTATACCAATTCTGTGTTCTCCTGCAGTCTAAACTTATCTGAGGCTCTTCTACTGGTTAATGTTTCTCATAGCTTTACATTTTGGTGATGAGACTACTAAAGCATCATTCAGCATTTTAGTTTTATGGTATTATTGTTTATTGTATATCTTCCTAGTTCATGTCATTTGTAGAGGCTATTGGCATTCATTTCCTGCATATGTACAGGGGCAAACTTCATTGCTGTGTGATGTTTGTATAACATGTTGAATACGACAAGGTATTGTCAGGGTTTTGGGGGGAGTGGAAAAGCTACTTCCTTTCTTTCTTTTTTCTAGTTAATATTTATAATTTAAGCAGCTACTTATTCTGATTCTTTCCTCTTTAGTAAATAGTTCAACATGCATTAACATGGCTTGCCTTTTTCTTTTTCTTTTCTTCTTTTTCCTCGTTGATTTAGATACAAGAAGCTTCTGTGCACAGTGGATCTTTCAAAGGACTTCTTTTTCAGCTACTCATACAATATCATGCATAGTCTTCAAAAAAATATATGTAATAAAGAGACAGGACAGGTTGTGTATGAGACAATGTTTGTATGGAATGAGTTTTTAAGTCGAGAAATCAGGAATAATCTCAAGAATACTTTGTGGACAGTTGCATTAGTTTATGGCTTCTTCAAGCAGGTACTGTATATTTGAGTTTGGCCATTTGTAAAATGTTGCAAGATTTTTTATTTATTTGTGGTCATTGACTCATTGTTTCCTTTTTCTTAGATTTCTATACCGATTTTCATTTAGAATTCAGGTTGCGTACTAAATTCCTTGATGACCTGATCCAACTGGACTTGATTGTGATATTCATTTATATTATCTGTTGAATTTGATTCAATTATCTTCCTTAGTTGGTCTTGTTCTTTACTTGGTTACTGGAATACGGGAAAATACCAAGCTCACATTTTTCTGAATGTGAGTCATAAAAATTTCTGTTTTCAAGAATATTAGGGAGCATAAATAGTCAATTACGAAAGTGTGATTTAAATAAATTTCTTTTTTCAAGAATAGTAGGGAGCCTAAATACTCAGTCTTGTAAGTCTAGCTGGCTTATATTGAACTCACTGAAACTGGAGTTGTTCTTCCAAAATACTTGCTGAAAAATATTTCTGCATGGTTGATCCAATGTTTACTGTTTTATGATTCCATATCCAGGTCAAACTTTCTATATCTGGCAGAGAATTTAATTTGACTCTTATTGCTCGGCGTTCACGACATTATGCTGGAACAAGGTTTATGCTTCTCAACTTACCAACTGATGTCTCTGCTGGATTAGTTTTATGGTTGAAGCTGTGCTTACTTTGCCATATGCCATGAAATTCATTATAGACTTAAGTTTTCTAGTTTCCACTGTAGATTATCTGCTTTCCATAGTGCACAAGTTTACTTTGAAGACATTAATTTGTCACTTTTCGTGTTTTCTGTTGCTTGATTCTGCAGCTGGCAATCTTCAATTCATTTTAGAGTTTTGTCCTGACTTAGTATTAATTCTAGTTTGTGATGCTTCTGCCCGATGGCAATTACTTCTTTCTAATCAAATGCTCTTGCAGATCTTAATAATTCTCACTTATTTTTTCCTTTTTCCTTTGATTTTTTTTCCTACTGATTAGATATTTGAAGCGTGGTGTAAACGATAAGGGTAGAGTAGCTAATGATGTTGAGACAGAACAAATTGTGTCTGAAGATGTTCCTGTAGGGAGTCCCATGCAAATAAGTTCTGTTGTCCAGATTCGGGGTTCTATCCCACTTTTCTGGTCCCAGAAAACTTCACGCTTGAATTTGAAACCTGATATCAGATGTATGGGTTCTTGCTTATCTAAACATAGTACATACATAATGAGAGGCATGCATGCCTATTGATATCTGGATAGTAACTTGTTTGGTTGCTGATTTCACTTCTGCTTTTCAGTGTCAAAGAATGACCCTAATTACAAGGCTACAAGACTTCATTTTGAGAATCTTGTAGAGAGATATGGAAATCCAATAATTATATTGAATTTAATAAAGGTAGGCCTTCCTCAAGTAGTTGGCTTATATCTGTAAATTATATGATGTCTTCTTGTATCCAAAGCTGGTATCCTTATGTGTTTATTTGCTGATGTTTCTGGAATAACAGACATGTGAGAAGAAACCTCGAGAAACTATCCTCTGTACAGAGTTTGCAAATGCTGTCACATTTATCAATAAAGGTTCTACTAAGGAAGACCATTTGAGGTTCATTCCCTTGGATCTGCACAAACTCTCTAGAAAGTACTCCCACATTCCCTTGCTAATGCTAAGATGGGTCATTGATCTCTCACAAGTTGTTTGACATGAGAAAAAACCTGTTTTGTTTTCAGCGGAGCTTCAATTGTGTTGGAACATCTAGCCAGAGCGGCTGCTTATGCATTAAATTTAACTGGCTTCTTTTATTATCAAGTGAGACCCAATTGTGGACAAGAGGATTTGTTGAATTTTTCTTGCTTTAAGTAAGTTATACTTGATATATGTTTTAATTTCTGTCTTTGATTATAATGAGTATTTTCCTTCAAATTGAACAAATTAATTGTTGGAAAATAAATCTATTTGCACTGGCAGCTCCTTTCTCCTCTATCTACAAATTTAGGACAATGGGAGGCTACTAGGTGGTTCTTACTATTAGGTTATATATTTCATTGACTGGCTAATATTTTCTCCTAACTTTGTATGTTGCCTGAAATATTAATCTGATATAGGCCAAACGACGAATACTCTATCCTTTCTGACAAAGTTGATGCTGTCGAGAAGTTAAAAAAAGATGTCAACAAAGATATTGGCTATTCTTCTGAAATTGACTATATAAAGCCTCTAGTGTTTCAAAAAGGGGTTCTTAGGACCAACTGCATAGACTGTTTAGATCGCACTAATGTTGCTCAATTTGCCTATGGGTTTATGGCGCTGGGACATCAACTACATGCTCTGGGATTTACAAAGTCATCAAATATTGAACTGAATAATCCTTTGGCTGAGGATTTGATGAGAATTTATGAGACAATGGGTGACACACTTGCAATACAGTATGGTGGCTCTGCAGCGCACAACAAGGTAATCTTCTAACCAAAATGATGCTTTTGGAGAGTTACCTTGATTCTCAGAGAGTAATTTCTTTGAATGGAAACAGAAATTTTTTTTCTCTTTCAACTTCACAAATTTTGTTGCTATGGTTTTTGTTCCCTGCCTCTTTATTCAATTGTTGTATGATCCATATTTTTTACCTCATTAACAGTTAATACACAATAACAATTAGAGAAGTAGCAGGCCAATACTATACTAATTAAACTGGCATCTATTGATAGTGATAACATGGTTGTCACTTGGTCAGTGTACTTCAGCTGGCAAAGTATATAATGATTAATGTTTTTTCTTTGTTTTGGTCATGTTAAACAGATATTTTCTCAAAGGCGAGGTCAATGCAAAGCAGCAACTCAGTCCCAGGAATTCTTTAGAACTTTACAACGCTACTTCAGCAATGCCTACATGGATGCTGAGAAGCAAAATGCCATTAACGTGTAAGTTGAATAATTCTCATCTGTCACACCCTCTACTTGTCTCCATAATCATTAACTTAACTAAGTGTCATGCAAATTATATCCCTATATGTTGGAAATTTAATGCACTAGGCTGAATGTAGGTTATCATGGAAAACATGCTACCCTTTTTTTCTTCTCCTGTTGCTCTAAAACATTGTACCTGGCTCAATAATTTGCAGGTTCTTGGGTCACTTTCAGCAGGGTAAACCAGCACCCTGGGAATTTGATTCAGACCACCACCATAATGTCAGAACACATGGTTCTAATTCTCTTAGTGAGAATGCTAGGTATGTTGTCTCTCATTGCTAATACCTGCTATCATGCCATACTTTACTGCATATCATATGTCTATCAGGATTGGTAGCAATATCAAGTATAAAATTGAGAAGGATATTTTTTCTGCATGGTGCAATTCTCTCTTTCCTGGTTGAGGTCCTGCAAATTTCAGGGAAGTATTTTGAGATTTCAGAAATTTGCAGAATTCCCTGTAACTAAATCTTAGTGAAATTATGATAAATATGATTCCTACTGATTTTTTTTGGATGAACTACTAACAAAACCACTTTTGATTATCTGTAGGTCATATTTTAAAAGATCACTCTCTGATAGCCATATCCCATGCGAAAGCGACTCGCCCATGCCCCCTTCAAATGGTGCGCACAATCAAACTTTCTCTGAGAAGGCTGAAGTCGAGAAGGGTCTCTCAGACTCCATGCCAGAGATATCAACTTGCAAAGGTGACTTATCTTATGCCAGGTAGGTTCTTCTTGTTCTACATATTTATTACCTAAACAGATATGAAGTCCAATGTACCCTTATCCACTTTTATTAGTGACAGTTACTTTTAGTTTTCCTTCAGAGATGGTGGCTCTCTTAAGAATTTCATAATTTAAATAATCTTTTTTTTTTTGAACAGCCATAATTTGTATAATCATTAATCATTGAGGATTTCATATTAGTCAGAGAAGTCTTTGTTTGATTGTTCTAAGAACTCCCTCC